ACTAAATCACAATATATCGCCCAGCCCTACTACATTGTCTGGGGAGAGTGTGGACCTCTTTGCAGTCACTATGCCATGCCGTAGAGAACACTCTACAAAGCAAGAGCCTGGCACAGCGAGATGGCATCTTGCCAGCTTGGCAATATGAGGGCATTTACTCTCATAGCTTTTCCACCATGTCAATGGATCACCATCGACCGTAATGTCACTTGCTGCCATGTAGGATGCTAACTCCTCTTTGATGATGACAGAAGGATGCTTGCTGTCCATCTCTAAGCTGACAAAGGTCTCTCCAAAAAGCTCTGCCATGGCTGATTTCTTTTGTGGAGATGTGCCCAAGTTGAACCTGCAGAAAAAAATAATGTTGATTTATATTTATTTCAGGGCTGTCAAAATTATCGCGTTAATTCACGTTAATTACCGTTTTCATTAACGCGTTAAAAATAGTTAACGCATTAACTGCCATTGACGTGTTAACACGTCAATTACGTTTCCCGCTATTTTCACGTTCCCAGATGTCTATTGTATCAAATATGTAAGGCTTGAGGCAATATTTTATCGAGCCAGCAGATGGCAGCATTGCTGTATGAATGGTTTGAAAACAGCTAGATGCACATGTGCCTCTTTTTTCTCAGCTTTCTGGTGATTTCAATAAAACTTACCTCTACTCGACTGGGGATTACAGGGGAACGAAACAAGCTAGAAACAAAATTATTTTTGTTGATTAAAGTAGACAGTCCATTCTTTCACAATCTGGTTTTGGATTTCAGATAGTCATAGTACACAATATTCTGTGGGTCTTGAAAATTCAGTAAAAATCATCAGAAACGGCTGGCAATGTGGGAGTACCTGTTCTGAAATAGGCTGGCAGTCAATCGCATGTCCGAATGACCCGTCCATTTATAATAATATCAGTCAGCACGTGTCTCACACACGGACACGTGCGTGTGTGTGATGGTGACAGCGGTAACGTGGTCATATAATACACGCATATATATACACACACAGGGGCCATTCTCTGATGTTGTGTGACACACGGAGACACGCTGAAATAACCAAACTCGCAAATTTAAAGCTGGGGTACCTACATTTTCCCTTTCATTAATAGCTCTTGTTGGTTGTACCCAAAAGTAGAAGGTTGTGAGCAAGTCAAACAGATTTAAGTACATTTGGTATGAATAACAATGTGTCATTACATTTGGAAATCTCATTCAACTTCAATTGGAGTGGATTTGAAATAGAATGTTAAAAATGCGATTAATCGTGAGTTAACTCACCATTACTATGTGATTAATCAACTAAAAAAAATTAATCGTTTGACAGCCCTAATTTATTTCTATGTTTCAAAGAAATTAAAAATAAGTCATTATAACTGATTATAAAAAAGATTATTAAGATTTATTATATTTTTTTTCTTTCTACCTCATCAGTCTTCAGTGCCCAGACTGCTCACAATCTCAGTGGTGAGATCACTATATGTCCTCTGGCGTAGGGCAGGGTCCATGTGAGACAGGGACTTGAACCTCGGATCCAGCGCAGTAGATCTGTTAAGGAAGTCCTGGAGAGTAGGGGGTGAAGTGTATCTGGGCTGCAGGTCCTCTCTAATGGCAGTCTTGACATCTTGAGGTGACAGTGGCTCAGTTGGTAGAGCATTGGCCTTTGAGCCTGAAGGTTGTGGGTTCGAGCCCACCACAAGACTCTCTCCACCGACTCCCACTGATGTCTGCAGTCGTGGTGTCCTTGGGCAAGACACTTAACCTCTGAGAACACGTGATGCCACAGTGGGGTGGCTGTAAAGTGCCAAACTACTGTTGTCCTTAGGCAAGACATTTCACCCCCATTGCCTAAAACGAGTCTGGTGTGTGTGTTAATGGTTTACAAGGGGTAGGAAACATAAATTTCACTTCTACCTACTCCTTTTCGAATTGTGTATATATATATATATATATATGTTTATATGTTATGTCTTTTTTAGTGTATTGCTCAATTAATTCGAAATAAACACTATCCGTGTTAAAGGCGCTATACCCGTTCCTGCAATGTTTGAATGTTTAGCACCGCCCCCCCAACTCGCTCACAGGCTTCTCATTTCCCCTACGCTCTCATCCCACGGAGCCACCTAGTTTTATTTTAAATGGCACTAAAGCAATGCACTGCTAACACAATATATAAGGAAAAGAATACCATTAGTTTCGCGTCCGAATGTATTAATTTAAACATTAGAATAATGTCTCCCTGGGCCACTCCCTCCCCCACTCCCCCCGCTACCCCCACTCCCTCCCCCTCTCTCCGACCGCTCACTTCTCTCCCCCAGAATCCTCTCTCGATCACCGCTCCCAGAACCAGAGGACGATGTTGTGGTGGAACTTGGAGAATCGGTTTCTACAGTGATGTGCCAGACGCCACCGCTCCCTCCATCTTTTCTGGGAGGCCAGTCCGCAACGCGTGCCCGTACTCCCATCTTGGGGACTCCAGGGCTGTTCCCAGCGTTTGCATGTTCTCCCCGTGTCTGCGTGAGGTTTCCCTCTGGTAGTCCTGACCAAGCGCACCTTTACCTTTAGTTCACTTGATTTATCTACATACTTCTACACACCTCTGCACACACCTGATATTCTTTTTTTTTATTAATTAAATACTTAAAACTCTTTCTTATATGGTTTCCCCTATTTATTGCTGCTCCTGAGCCAGAGTAGTAACATTCCAAATGTGGCATTTATAGAAACAGCATTTGTCTGTCCTCTCCCACTCGCTCCTTCAAATTCGTCTCCATGGTGACTCGATCATGGTCTGAACGAAGGTTGCTTTTCACCGCTGTGCTTTTCAAAATATCTTTTAAAAACCCCTTTAACCACTGTTACCATTAATTTACCTTTACGTGACATGTGTTCATGGATTCCCTTTTCTCTGTTTCTTCAGATGCAGTTATGAGATGAGAACTCTGACCCTCTGCTCAAGTGAAGGTTTGTCTTAATTATGTTTTGAGTTTCATATAATTGTTCTGACCATGAATGAACGAGAGTACGGCACAGATAGCTCTTCATACTGAGGTCCATACAGAGGTCTCTACACTGAGGCTCATGGACAATGGCGAGATCTCAAAACAACTTTACTCTTTACTGTTGTAAAAAATGAAAAAACTGATGTATTATTACTTACTTTGAAACTTTGAAACACTACAACTGAAATCAGGGTTTTTTTGTTTTTTGATAAGAAGGGGGGTCTCTCTTTGAATGAGGAGGTAAGAGCTGAATATTTTTGATAGTTTTGACTTTCAGAACAACGTGGTGCAGCAGGAATCTTTCTCACGGGATGGATACTTGCATGCTTCTTAGACTCTAGTCTTTTGAACACTGTTTATGATAATACATAACGTCCAGAAAGCCTTCTCTTATACAGTGTGGGACATATTTAAGGAGACATTTCTGAAGCCGCGCCCTACTCTCATTCCCCACAAACAGATTGAGCTGCTGGCGTCCAATCTGTAAACTGAACAGATATAAACATCCTATGATAAGCGTTAACGAATTGTATGAATCGGTAAGACATTTTTATGTACAATAGAACTTCCAGCAAAGTCTGAAACAGACCGATTTATTGATGATTTTTGCAATATTATAGAAAATCTTGGTTGTACTTAATATAAATACTTTGTTGTTATTGTCATGTTCTTTTTATTGCTTCCCATTGAGACAAATAACTCATGAGATAAATACTAATTTGATTATAATATGGAAGAAGGTGCTTTGATCAGATAATACAGAAATTTAACCTGCGGTCTCATACTTTCACATTCTCCCTTGATTGTGTTACACCTTTCATGTAAGCCCCCGTATTGTGTAAAGGGGCGACGGGATGCATTTCCTATGGGGATAACTCCCTTCTGTTCTGACCCTCGCTGTCACAGTGTAGTGCTATTCCAATAACACTTCAAACTTTATTTTGTGGCAAAAACACACCAACATTCACTTGTATCATGCTCCGGTTGCTCTGCTTGTATGCCACACTTTCCATTCCCATTCATTGATTTCTCAGCGCTCCCGTGTCCGCCGCACGCACACACTCTCACTTGTAAACTCTTATTGCAAAGAACGCGATCCATGCTTGAGCTGTTGCCCACAGTAGCCGAGTGTAGACAGGAGGAGAAAGGGAAACTTCGCTCGAACCTTGAGTGGCTAGGGGTTAACCAGCCATACAAAGTATTGTACTACACAGTTGACAAAATAAACCCTTGTGACCGAAGGCTGTCTTCACACCCCTGTGGCAACGATCCGGGCCACTTGGCCTAGTTTGTTTGTGACCGTACTCTAATATGGTGGGGGGAGCATCATGCTTATGAGGCTGATTTCCTCCAGTGGGGACTGGGACGATTGCAAGATAAGGTGAAGTGATTAAACTTAAAGCTTAATGTATGAATGGAATGGTTTCAAACAAAACATATTTATGTTTTGGAATGGCCCAGTCAAAATCAAGTGCCGGTCACTAACGCTCTCCATCTAATTAAACAGAGCTGAAGTTGTTTTGTAAAGTGACATGTGCTTTGTGGGTACCACTCCTGCTGTATGCATGCCCAACTTTTCAGTTTTCTACTTTTTGAAAACTAATTTTCCCTTCAGTTGTCTGTCACTTGTTTGTGAACCTTTTAGTAAAAAAAATATCAAAATAAAATATTTGTTTATGGTTGTAAACATGAGAACTTGAAGGTGTATTGATACTTTTGCAAGGCATTGTATATACGTGAGTGTGCGTGCATCTGTGTAATGGCTCAAAAAGGGAGAAAAGTAAAATGTATTTCTCACCCTCTTTAACATTCATACAGTTTATGTAGTAAAATAAATGCACAATTGGGATGATTGTGATGATGATGATCATCAAAATGATTGTACACAAATAACCTCCAGTGTCTCTTTATTTCTCAGCTCTAAACGTGTCCATGAGGACACCAAACATGTTGAACCTGTTCTGAAGCCTCCACGCTCGGCCTTCGTCTCTCCTCCTCTACTATGACCAGCCTGAAGCGTTCGCAGACAGAACGCTCAGTGGGGGGCTCTGTGCCGGCCTCTGATGAATTTTACACTCGGCGTTTGCGCCTCCCAAATGGAGGTGCGCCCCCGCCCCGCAGCGAGAGCGCACACATCTCCTCTTCCAACACTGGGAACAGCCCTGGAGTCCCCAAGATGGGAGTACGTGCACGCGTTGCGGACTGGCCTCCCAGAAAAGATGGAGGGAGCGGTGGCGTCTGGCACATCACTGTAGAAACCGATTCTCCAAGTTCCACCACAACATCGTCCTCTGGTTCTGGGAGCGGTGATCGAGAGAGGATTCTGGGGGAGAGAAGTGAGCGGTCGGAGAGAGGGGGAGGGAGTGGGGGTAGCGGGGGGAGTGGGGGGAGTGGGGGAGGGAGTGGCCCAGGGAGTGGCCCGTCTTCATCTACTGCTCATACAAACTTGTCTGCCAAACTGGGTCACCTCATCAGCCCGCAAGATTCCTCGATGCTCCGCAACATTCAGAACACGCTGAAAAACAAGATGCACAAGGGCAAAGACAACCGCTTCCTGTCTCCGGACGGATACCAGGGCTCACCGCGGAAAGGCGTGCGCCGTATCCGTCAGCGTAGCAATAGCGACATCACCATCAGCGAGTTGGATGGTGACAACGAGGGCTGGTCATTCTCAGGCTGGACACCCATGCACCGCGAGTACGGTAGCACCTCGTCCATAGACAAACATGGAGTGTCTGGAGAGAGCTTTTTCGACATGCTCAAAGGATACCAGTCTTCAGAGGCTCCGGATCAGAGAAGTCCAGCTCCAGAAAGACTATCGGAGCTGCTGACTGTGGCCCCAGTTAAACAGGCTGCCCTGGATCTGCCCGATGGACCCCTCATTAAGGGGAGTCCTGCCAGTCGCCTGAAAGAGCGGGAGAAGCAGCTGAAGAGACGGTCGAAGTCAGAGGCGGGTAGCGAGTCCATATTCCGTAAACTACGTAGCGTCAAAGTGGAAGGCGACACGTCCAGAGCTGGGTCAGACGCAGAGGATGGCGGGAAAGGAGACGAGAGAATTCCCTTGCCCAAGCCCTGGGTCTGCCAGAGGGGCTTCGCCCACTTCGACGTCCAGTCCCTGTTGTTCGACCTAAATGAAGCCGTTCAAAGCAGACAGTCCGGATCGAAGCGCAAAAACACCACCACAGGGGCGTCTGCTGCATCTGCCAGTTCCTCCCTTTCGTCCAATCAGAGTGCAGCGTATGGGTCTCCCTGCGGGTCACAAGAAGAGCTCAGTATGAAGGAGGGATCGGGACATGGAAGTAACCCCACCCTCGATCCTGGGGACGACAAGAGCAACGAGCTGGTCCTGAGCTGTCCCTGTTTCAGAAATGAGATTGGAGGAGAGGGAGAGAGAACTATTGCACCTGCCAAACAGGTAACTCCTGAATATTGCAACTGCCAAATGGGTAACTCCTGAATATTGCACGTGCCCTGAATATTGCATCTGCCTAGCAGGTAACTCCTGCCTCAGCGTAGAGTGAATGTTTTTTAAGCTGTATCACCATTTGGTTTACTTGCCATGTTAGAGCTGGTGTTAGGGTTAGAGTAGTGCGTGTTAACAATATGGACCAGTAAAGACCATGTTCTTAGCATCTAGAGCAGAGCTTTCCAGAAACATATTTGCTTGGGTTGCTGGGGTTGATAAGAACTAGAGAAGCAGTGGTTTCTGCAAAGTTATAAATCATGGAGTTTCCTTCAAAATCATTGTTTACCGTTTGGAGTCTCTTCTGAGCCAGTGTTTTACATTATGACCCCTTAAGAAATACTCTACTTATAGATGTGACGTTATGTTCCCTTTTACACCAGGTGCATGGACAGTTTAGCGCATGGATGTATGTGTTTTTTTTATGGTTCACACGAGATAAAGCCATGCCTGTAGTTGAAATATATATGGAATATGCTTTTTAATTCATCTCACAATGTGAAACTAATGAATGAATGACTGACCCAATTAATCAACCCTGACCCATTTATCAGACCTTTGCTTATCATGTTCACTTATGACTCTCTGTACACACCCCAAATAAAACATTGATTATTAGATAATTAAACATTTTTAAAATGGCCTGTGAGCCACAATCCTCAAACATTGTAACAAAGGCTTATGTCTTTGTAATTTTTAAGTTGAACAGAATTATATGTACCTTTCCATATTATTCTTGTATGTTATATTCCATGCTGGAATGGGTAATTGTACATACTAATAACACTATACCTCAGGATCCCATAGGTCTAGGGCTTTGGTGTACTGTGCTTTTCCGATGGAAGTGAATCCTGTGTTACACCTGGTCTCTCTCAGCAGGGTAGCATAGGCAGTGGGGGCTCGAGCAGCGGCTCGGGCAGCTCGGAGGAGGGGCCCCTGGACTCCACTCTCTCCTCTCACTTCACGAATGCAGGCGTGGCCGTGCTGGAGGCCCCCAAGGACGGACCTGGCCTGCACATTGACCGCACCAAGAGATACATCGTGGAGCATGTGGACCTTGGAGCCTACTATTACAGGAAGTACTTCTACCTCCGAGGTGAGGATAGATTGCTGGGTCCAACTCGTGATAAAGCTGGGGTTCCTGACTTTCAACCACACAAAACTGAAACCATTGTAAAATCAATGTCACTCGTTCCTCATTCTAAAAATGGCTCACTAGTTCTCACATGTGTTCACATCTTCAGATCAGCTTTTTCAGAAAGAAAAGTGAAACACAAATGACCACCCTCACTCAGCCAATCAAGTATGCAAAAGATGACATGGAATCTTGTTTATTGACTTTATTTAACCAGGGAGCCACAACCAGAGATTTCAGAATCTCTTTCAGTGGAGTCCTGGCTCCAGACTAGAAACACAAAGCCATAGTACTGTATATTGTATTTGTACTGTATACTTTACCATAACCATAGTAATTGTGATTGTACCATAACTCAAGCAACTTTTGTTGTGCCTTTCTAACACATGAATGTTTAGCTTTAAATAAGGGTTGCCCAAACCTGTTGCTTCCAAGGGCCAAAGAAAAAATTTGCCAGTGGGCCAAATACAAATATTACATGTGAAACACAAATAAATGTACATTTTGCAATAAAGAACAGCCAAATATACAGTGAGTAACTGAACGTAGCAACAAGACATACTATAATCATATAAAAGCTATAAGTGGGTTATATGTCTGTAACTATAAGTTACAGACATGCCCTTTAATTTTGGCGCAAGACGTAGCGGCGGATTTTCAGATAAGCAATAGATATAAGTAATAATAAACACGCAATAGAATGAACTTTTAACTATAAATTAGCAGCAAAAACCAACATTTGACCTTAGAATACTAGGGAACAACGTGAATGTGGCGGCTCAGGCGTGTTGCTCTGTCAATTACTACGTGCTCAAAAGCCTAAAGCCGCGTTCAGACCGGATCATGCGTTGCGTTTGCTTTCAATGCAAAGTCAATGGTGACGCGCGTTCGAGCGTCAAAATACATGCGAGTCTCGGAACGCGCAAACGGACTGCGCAGTAGAGACTCACTGACTGCGCGGGAAAGTCGAAGGGGAGGAGCAGGAGCGGAAAGTCGATGCACGCAGGAGATAAACTTTGCTCAACGTTTCCTCGGACGTTTGTGCAGAGACCAATCAGAGAGCCACAAAGTGGTCACGGGGACATATGCGGACTGAGGAGCAGACTGAACATGCTGTAAAAAGCCAAAACGGGAGCTACACCAAGACTAAAACCAGGGTTGACAAGGGGGAACATTGCGCTTGTGAACATATGCGTTGTCATGCTCCCGTGACTTTATGCAACTGTTCGCCGATGCGGTACATTAAAGTACCATTTAATGATAAAATAAACTCATTGCGCACCTCAATGAACACATACTACTGTAATATAAAGTCCGTGGAAGGTCTCTGAACACAGACATGCTGCAAAGTTGCATTTTTGGAGAAGATCTTTACACAAGAAGCCGCTAGCATAATTCTGTTAGCATCAGAGCCGGCCGGCTACTTCCGCCACTTCCGGCGCTGGCCAGGACGTTCTGTTGTGAAGTCCCGTGCGTCTGAAAACTAGAGAATGTGCGTCTGGTGAGCGAGGCTTCAGTGTTCCAGCATTGGCGATCTGAACACGGCTTTAGTACTTAAAGATGCAAAACAGAAACTAAACACTAGGGGCGCACTTCTCTGCCTGGCTTTCCTATACTTTCTCACAAGCGCAAAAGGCTCATGGGGGATCATCTCAATTTGGTAAAACATAAAATTGCTCAAAATAATAAATAATAGCTAGAGGACGAGCTAGAGGAAGTGTGTGTGGATAGGGAAGTCTGGGCGTCTCTGCTTTGACTGCTACCCCTGCGACCCGGCAACGGATGAAGCGGAAGAAGATGGAATGGAAAAAAAATGGAATAAATAATAGTAGGCTGCGATAAAAATGAACATAAAGGTGCTTTGCACCCAATAGTGTCTAGTGTGTCTGAGGTTTGCAGTAGGGATGGACAACGGCGGGCCAATGGAGACGGTCCGGCGGGCCAACTTTGGTCATCGGTTTTCAACCATTCCATTTAGATTTAGCTTTGTGTCTAGTCATCCCAGCTATTATTACAATCTTCCCAGTCCAAGAAATGCAGCCCCAAAGCATGATGTCCCACCATATTTGACAGTGGGGATGGCGCACTCACTATGATGACATAATCTTTTTTTGACCTTAGCAGCTTTTTCCACATAAATCAATATTGTTTGATTGCATGAATGTTATCATGATTTGTATGTGATTTTATTGTAAAGCACTTTTCACCTTAAGTGTGAAAAACTGCTCTATAAATACAATTTGATTAATAGATATAAATATATTTACATGATTATTTAAGAGTTTGTTTGGTGATATCCTTATTGTGTTTCTTGTAGAGCATTGGAACTACCTGGGGGTGGATGAGAACCTGGGGCCCGTGGCAGTGAGTCTGCGACGGGAGAAACTTGAGGAGCATAAGGAGCATGGGCAGCAGTACAACTACAGGGTGATCTTCAGGACCAGCGAGGTACGCTCTCTGTTCTGTTATATAACATCCTCACCGCAGACACATGTGCAGCTCTCGTAGGAGTTCACAATGTGTCGATACACACAGCACACTCTGTTCTGAGGCTGCAGTGAGCTGTGTGGGAGGAGAGAACACCAGCTCTCATGGATCAGCTCTGGAGAGCTGCCTCTGAGATAAAACTCTACTCCTACTAGGGGTGCAACGGATCGAAAAACGAATGGTTTGGATCAGCAAAAAATTTAAAGGACAATACAAATAAACACAAGTTCTGTCTTATTGTTTTTAATACTTTGAAATGATTATATCAAAGTTATCAAATCAACTTGCAATGTTTAATACAAATGCAACTCTTGGTTAATTAAAGGACAAGGAAAAACACTTAAAATAAGGTTTAAAAATTAAATGATACTAAAATCAAACATTGACGTTGAAAATTGTGTGCTGTCATTTTAAGAGAATGACGACAAACGCTTGCTCTCTTCCTGTTAGTGATAAGCGGTTGTTGAGCAGTCTTTGTTTTCACTCCCGTTTGTGAAACGCCCGCCATGACCACACTGTGTGGACTTGACATGCGCACAACTGTTTCTTGTGTGTGCCGAACTGAGGAGGATATTGCTCCAAATGGATTGATGATGATCCTACTGCTCTAAAGCAGTGTTTTTTCAACCTTTTTTGAGCCAAGGCACACTTTTTTCATTGAAAAAATCTCACAGCACACCACCAGGAGAAAGTGTAAAAATATATACTCTGTAGCCTATATTCACAATATAAAGTCATTCTCATCAAAGTGCTTAAACAGACATCCAGGCCTTGACATTAAGCTTTTTTAAATATTTCTCAATACAATGAGTTAACAAGATTTTGGGAATAAAGTGGCACTAATTGTGTGGAAAAAAAACATTTAAAAAATCCACTCTCAGCCCAAAAGGTCAAATACTGATTTCACAGGCCTCTTAAGTAAGCAAAATTGAAAAATAAAATGGCCTGTAGTGTGTTCTGATTTGTTCACTACATTTTACTTTTGTGCACATGGGGAAAAATGTAGGTATGGGGGGAGAGACACGGGGGGATAGACACGGGGGGGGGGAGACACGGGGGGAGAGACACGGGGGGGGGGGGGGGGGGGGGGGGGTTGGGGGGGAGAGAGACACGGGGGAGAGACACGGGGAGGAGAGACACGGTGGAGAGACACGGGGGGTCCTGAACACAAGTCCATGGTTCTTATTTTTATTTAGTCTTTATTTGAAGGGACAATGTACAGAGACATTGAGCTAAAAGACGGATATGTAGTGGTTCATAAAACATGGAGTGGAGTATGTGATGTGTCCAGCTGTTTTTCACCCAAACTCATTGTTGCTGATTTAACCTACACATTATTGTAATTCTAATTATCTATCAGTGGATAGCACTATCTCCTCTCAGCAGAAGGTCCTGGGTTCAAATCCCAGTCGGAACAGCGTTTTTCTGAATGGAGTTTGCATGTTCTCTCTCTCTGCTGCTTTGCGCGCTCCAGTTTCCCCTACCACAATGAATGAATGTTTCTTTACTGCCAACAGTCTCATGTTTACTTTAACATTCTGCACCTGTGCATATCCCACGTTGTGTGGACATACAGATGCCAATGCATTCATGTATCAGGCCTTGACTATAAGCTTTGTCGGTCACTTGCCCTTCGGGCAGATTCCATTTATGAGTGTGTTCACAGTAAAGTGACAATTGAAGTATCTGGACTTTAAAAGGTTATAACTTAAAAACTAAAATTACTTTCATAGATTGGAAGAAAGATTTCAAACACAGACACATTAAAGAGATAGTGTGGAAAAAATCTAAAGGAAAGATTGACATAAAAATGTTTAGCAACCTTTTAAACGACCAAATGAGCCTCTGATTGGACCATTCTACTGTGACGCCAGTTACATAGAAAATAAAACGTCCTCAGTCTGAAAAAGCAGAAGATGAAATCCCACAACATTTACATGGTTAACACAACAGAAGGAATCACTTGATATAAAAAGGAATCGTGAAAAAAAAAAAGTTAATTAATTAAATGACCCCTGAAAAATGAATAACGAACGTGATGAGGATGGTCCTCTTTTCTCTAAAAATTAAACTTGAGAAAAAAAAATCTGGTCTGTTTTCACATTTAATTGGTTGACAATATGAAAGTATCACTTTGCATCTACTTTGTGTAAAAAAAAATAGAATCAAACTTCCACAAAGCACATTCCGTCAAATCATCACGTCCGTTAAATAAAATAAACAGGGCCGCTATAGGAAACTTGTCTAATGTATACAACAGTTATGTTCTAGCAACTTCTAATGGACAGAGGAGGTATTTGGAAACATGAAAAACATAAAATATTTTCTGATTATTAAAATCTAATTTTTGGCCTTTTGTCACACTTTTGTGCCCTTTAGTGTGAACAAGCTCATATATATTTTACTTATTTTACAATGTCAAAAGTGAGTATGTGCGTTTGCTGAGCTGTTGTCAAAGCGGCTGCAGTTGCTCCCGGGGTCAAAACGAAGGATGTGGAATCCCGTTTGAGTGCTTACAGCAATTGCCTGCGATAACATATTTCACAGAAATGAAATTTTCAGCGGGGAAAAGTCAGAAATTGCGGATCAGCAGAATATTCTCATTCCTGGATTATCCCTATGCATTTCATTGCTCAATAAAATGGACCAATGAAGAGAATTGGTCAAAAAAAGAAACAGATGTGTCTGCTTCCGGCCCCTGAGGAAGAAATGCGGGAATGAGTTACCGGCCCGAATGGGTTACAGTAATACTACTGTGAGCTAAACATCACTTGCCCGATCGGGCAACTTGCCAAGACAGTGCACATATTCGTCCCAAATCTTTATTTGCTCCGGGCAAGCGGACAACCGTTAATGTCAAGCCCTGCACGCATCTTTACAAGATTCCAAAGAGACTATAGGGTAACATGGTGGCGGAGTACAGCTGAAAAATACTTCCTGGTAACTGTTCAAAGTCAATAGTTTAGAGCTTATTTCTCGGTAATCCCTGGAACAGAAAAATGAAATAAAAACACATCTTTGTCAGCACATATCAACTTGGACATGGTTACAAGTAGGGGTGGGAACCTAAGGGTACCTCACGATACGATACGATACGGTACACGATACAAATCTCACAATAAAGATAATATCACGATAACAATTTTATAACTATATGACGATTATTGATATATTGGTCAGAAATATACAATATGCCAATTTATGGCATAAATAAAAGAAAAATACTCTTTATTTCATGATAAATAGAATGGAAATGCTTAATGTAGCCATATATTAAGTATTGATACCAATTCCAAAAAAAAGTAAACAAAATAAAAAATAAATAAATTGATTTCAAAATCGATATCGATACTTGGCAAATGCATATCGATAATCAAATCGCGGGAGAAAGTATCGCGATATATCAAAAAATCGATATATCGTCAGACCCCTAGTTACAAGGCTCTAGAGACTCTCAAAACGTCACAAAATCAAGCAGCTGACTGAACGAATGAATTAAGTGTTTGGATTTGAATCTTTTGTGGTTTCCTCAGTCATAAATAAACACACACACACACTCACTCTTTATACATTTTTTCATTTGTTCATTAAAATTGAACTTCATTAAAACCGTTGATGAGACTTTAATTCTAAATGGTGTTTTGTTGGATGTGTGAGGATATACTTCATCCTGTAACCTCAAAAACAGCTGATCCTGGGTTTTTGTTAAGCTGAACATCTCTCCTCAGCTGAACACATTGAGGGGCTCAATCCTGGAGGATGCCATCCCCTCCTCCTCGAAGCATGGGCTGGCCCGAGGTCTGCCTCTGAAGGAGGTCCTGGAGCACCTGGTCCCAGAGCTAAACCTACACTGTCTGCGGCTGGCCCTCAACACGCCCAAGGTCACGGACCAACTCATGAAGCTGGACGAGCAGGGGGTGAGAGGGGTGAGGGCGTGAGAAAGGGGGAGAAAGAGGCAGGGAGAGGGACCAACTCATGAAGATGGATGAGCAGGGGGTGAGAGGGGTGATTGTGAGTGAATGTCACTGTCTCTCTCGTGCTTGCTTTCTCTCTGTGCGTGTCTTTCTCACACTTTCTCTGTGTCTCACTCTCACTCTTCCACACACTCGCACTCTTGTGTGTATGTTGTCTCCATACTAACCTTCCTGTGTGTGTAGCTGAGCTTCCAGAGGAAGGTGGGGGTGATGTACTGCATGGCGGGACAGAGCAGTGAGGAGGAGATGTACAACAACGAGGCGTCTGGTCCAGCGCTGGATGAGTTCTTACAGCTGCTGGGGGAGAAGGTCCGCCTCAAGGGCTTCAGCCAGTACAGAGCCCAGCTGGACACCAAGAGTAAGTGTTCCAGAACCATCCAGCCTGAAGGCAGGGGCCAATTATACAGTGTATACAGATGGAAAATGCTAACACGCTAGCTCACTGAAGCCCGGCAGGGAAGCGTTTATGGAGTAAACTCCTAGCCCACAACAATTGTAAAGTGGTTTGAGAGTCTGGTCTGTGAAAGGCACCGTTTAAATAAAGATTACTTGCATACTTTTACTCGCACAGAATGTAAGTAACCGTTTTTGTCACACTCACCACTTCACCAGAGTGAATGGAGGAGCAGTTATTAACTAAAAGCATTGTTCTCACTGTTCCCTGTTGCTATAGAAACTACGTTGCTACTACACTGTGCACTGAAGCGGTGTTCTCTCCTCCTTGTTCACTTTTGCTCCACAAAGAAACCTGAGTGAGTGAGACAAAGTCTGATCTCACACTAATCGCCCATAATGCACTTGGGGCATGGAGGAGGGTCAGGGCTGGAGTAAGAGTTAGGATTGGACTAACAGGATTAGGGTACAGGCTGCTGCAGCGTTGCAAGACCTCTGGTGTGTGCCGTCCTTTCTGTCTGGTGCACACTGGCATAGTCTTGCACAGTGTTTCCAATGTGGTTTTACTGCAAATGGCAAATAAATGAATCTGAATCTGATCTGCTCTTGTTCTGCATCCTCAATGAAGGCTGGGACTGAACGACAGATTATCCACCCTCTGATTAAAGGAGAGGTTCTGCAGGTCTTTCATCCCTGTCAGACTGTACAACAAGAATTAATAGTTACCTAATTTAACTTAAGTTCTACAAATAGGTGCGTAGTCCCTTAGGACTTCGCTAGTGGGATATCACTCGTGACCCCCAGGTCACACGCCAGAGAGATCAAAATAATTTGCTCCAATCACCAGCCACCCTCCTCTATAAAGGCCCCTGCACAAGGCCGCACCCCCTCTTTCACTCTGGCGCCGATTGAGATCTACCACAGCACGTACTTTATTCCAGAGAAAGATGTCTTCTGATGCTCGTCCGAGTTCCCCTTCGCCCTCCGGCGTCGGACGTTGTCGTTGCTCGACGTGTCGAGTCAGGCTCCATGCACGGACCAGCACTCCAGCTGCTTCATGTGCCTGGGCCCGGGCCATGCGGCGTTGAGCGCCACCTGCACCTCGTGTCTCGCTCTCCCCAGGGAGGAGAGCGAACGCAGGCGTGCGTACCTCGCCGCTGCAGCGCCCCGTCCGGACTCCTCTCAGGACGAGGAGTCTGAGACTGACTGGGCCCCACTCGACCTTCCACCCGTGCCCGCGGAGTGGGGTGACTGTGAGGACGGAGAGGTTTCGGAGGTCGGCTCCCTCCTCACGCTGGACGAGGTGGTGTCGAACCCGGAGCCGGACCGCTTCCCACTGGACCACATGCCTGGGCTCTACTCCTCCGCGGCGGCCATCATGGATGCCCCCCTACCACCGCAGCCGACCCAGAGGGCGGAGGACTCCACCTCTGGTTACGCCACCACTCGAGGGAGGAGGAGGATACAGCCCACGTTGTGCCCGCGGATGGACCCGATCGTCCATTACGCGACACGTGAGTGGCCAAAGCCCCTAGCAGCCTGTACTTGCCACTCACCTCCTGATAATTCACTAGTCACATGTTCTACTCCTTTGACTCAAGTGCAATTACAGCTCCAGAGTTATGTGCATCAGTAACACTGAAATTCTAAAGACTAAAGATTCTGATCTCATCTCTGGTCAAAAGGAGCCCGATTTCAGCACTGGAACATCTTCTGCTGTGTTCCCTATGATTTGGAAACAAACTGTGGATATGACTCTGAATATGTTTCAAATATACATTTTGTGTTTCTCCAATAGCTGATTCCACTGGGACCCACTCCATGTTCACAACCTACAAGGACTATGAGATCATGTTCCATGTGTCCACAATGCTGCCCTACACGCCCAACAACAAACAGCAGGTAGCACAGAGGCCTTCATATGTATATACAGTAGATTTATGTTTATATATATATTTGTTTATATGTGTGATGTGCAGTTACTGAGGAAACGCCACATTGGGAACGACATTGTGACCATCGTGTTCCAGGAGCCCGGAGCTCTGCCCTTCACTCCCAAAAACATCCGCTCACATTTTCAACATGTGTTTGTGGTCGTCCACGTTCACAGCCCCTGCTCCGACAGCACTTCATACAGGTGAGAGGGGGAGAGTTTTGGTGAAGATGAGGAGATGGTAGTGTTCTGCTGCTGTGTCAGAACATAGAGATGAGCTCAGAGCTAATGGAGCTCTCGGGAGTGATCGTTGTGATTGGCTTCTATACAGGAAACATTACACAGTACCTTATTAGATTCAAACTACTGTTTGGACATAAGCATCAGAAACTAAATATTACTTTTGCTACTTGAAATGTTAGTGTTTCAAAAGAAAGTGATGCAACTCTCCTGCTTCCCTCCCTTCTCCCGCCTCCTTACTCTCTCCTGCCAGCGGCCACCTACTTTGGGAGATGCAATGAGGGCCTAATTATTCTTCTCATGTCATGCATCTTCCTCACCTTCTCTCCCTCATCTCCCCCAGCGTTGCAGTCACCCGCTCTAAAGACATGCCCTCGTTTGGTCCGCCCATTCCAGAGAATGTGACCTTCCCCAAGTCCTCGGTCTTCAGGGACTTCCTCCTGGCAAAGGTCATCAACGCTGAGAATGCAGCGCACAAATCCAACAAGTTCTGCGCCATGGCAACGCGCACAAGGCAGGAGTATCTCCGTGACCTGGCCGAGAGACACACCACCAGCACGCCCATCGACCCATCTGGAAAGTTCCCCTTTATCTCCCTGGCCCACAAGAAGAAGGAGAAGAGCAGGCCATACTCTGGGGCCGAGCTCAGGAGCCTGGGAGCAATTGCCTGGCAGGTTCATGTGGAGGACCATGCCACGGGGGCGGAGCTGGATGCCCTGCTGGCTGTGTCCAATGACTTCATCATCGTGTTGGACCAAGGAGATGCCAGGGAAGTAGTCTTCAACTGTGCGACCAAGGACGTGATTGGCTGGACCCTCATCAATCCGGCGTCTCTGAAGGTCTTCTATGAGCGAGGCGACTGTCTGTCCCTGCGCAGCATCAGCAACAACACAGAGGACTTCAAAGAGGTCCTCAAGAGACTAGAGGTACATGCAGAGACACACACACACACATGAGGTGACTGTCTGTCCCTGCGCAGCGTCAGCAACAACCTAGACACGAGGTCCGCACGTGCACACAAGGTCCACGCACGCACAAGAGGTCCACACGCGCACGCACAAGAGGTCCGCACGTACAAAAGGTCCACACGCACAAGAGGTCCGCACGCGCACGCACAAGAGGTCCGCACGCGCACGCACAAGAGGTCCGCACGCACAAGAGGTCCGCACGCGCACGCACAAGAGGTCCGCACGCGCACGCACAAGAGGTCCGCACGCGCACGCACAAGAGGTCCGCACGCGCACGCACAAGAGGGCCGCACGCGCACGCACAAGAGGTCCGCACGCGCACGCACAAGAGGTCCGCACGCGCACGCACAAGAGGTCCGCACGCGCACGCACAAGAGGTCCGCACGCACGCACAAGAGGTCCGCACGCACAAGAGGTCCGCACGCACAAGAGGTCCGCGCACGCACAAGAGGTCCGCACGCACAAGAGGTCCGCACGCACAAGAGGTCCGCACGCACAAGAGGTCCGCACGCACAAGAGGTCCGCGCGCGCACGCACAAGAGGTCGCGCGCGCGCACGCACAAGAGGTCCGCGCGCGCACGCACAAGAGGTCCGCGCGCGCACGCACAAGAGGTCCGCGCGCGCACGCACAAGAGGTCCGCGCGCGCACGCACAAGAGGTCCGCGCGCGCACGCACAAGAGGTCCGCGCGCGCACGCACAAGAGGTCCGCACGCGCACGCACAAGAGGTCCGCACGCGCACGCACAAGAGGTCCGCACGCGCACGCACAAGAGGTCCGCACGCGCACGCACAAGAGGTCCGCACGCGCACGCACAAGAGGTCCGCACGCGCACGCACAAGAGGTCCGCACGCGCACGCACAAGAGGTCCGCACGCGCACGCACAAGAGGTCCGCACGCACAAGAGGTCCGCACGCGCACGCACAAGAGGTCCGCACGCACAAGAGGTCCGCACGCACAAGAGGTCCGCACGCGCACGCACAAGAGGTCCGCACGCGCACGCACAAGAGGTCCGCGCACGCACAAGAGGTCCGCGCACGCACAAGAGGTCCGCGCACGCACAAGAGGTCCGCGCACGCACAAGAGGTCCGCGCACGCACAAGAGGTCCGCGCACGCACAAGAGGTCCGCGCACGCACAAGAGGTCCGCGCACGCACAAGAGGTCCGCGCACGCACAAGAGGTCCGCGCACGCACAAGAGGTCCGCGCACGCACAAGAGGTCCGCGCACGCACAAGAGGTCCGCGCACGCACAAGAGGTCCGCGCACGCACAAGAGGTCCGCGCACGCACAAGAGGTCCGCGCACGCACAAGAGGTCCGCGCACGCACAAGAGGTCCGCGCACGCACAAGAGGTCCGCGCACGCACAAGAGGTCCGCACGCACAAGAGGTCCACAGGCGCACGCACACGAGGTCCACAGGCGCACGCACACGAGGTCCACAGGCGCACGCACACGAGGTCCACAGGCGCACGCACACGAGGTCCACAGGCGCACGCACACGAGGTCCACAGGCGCACGCACACGAGGTCCACAGGCGCACGCACACGAGGTCCACCGGCGCACGCACACACGCGGTCCATATACACGGAAGACACACAAGAGGTCCAGAGTGGATAGCACTCTGGCTTCTTAATGTTTGGAACAGGGCCTTTCTGATTGGAGTTTGCATGTTCTACCCGTGTCTGCGTAGGATTCCTCCGGGTGCTCCGGTTTGCCCTAACGATAAAAACATGCACAATATGTCTGAATGTAATGGATGGTGATGGTCGAGGGCTTTGATGCGCCTGTGTGTTCGGCATCTCACTCCAGTCATCACAGTGTGTGGAGTAAATTAAACATCTGAACTCTGAACATTGTAAAGCGCTTTTGGTGACCTTGGTCTGTAAAATGTTCTATATAAATAAACAATACTTACTTACAACCCAAACACTGCATTTACAGACTAAGCATACAGTGGGGAAAAAAATAATTTAGTCAGCCACCGATTGTGCAAGTTCTCCCACTTAAAATAATGAGAGGTCTGAAATGTTCATCATAGGTACACTTCAAGAAAAAAATCCAGGAATTCACATTGTAGGATTTTTAAAGAATTTATTTGTAAATTATGGTGGAAAATAAATATTTGGTCAATAACAAATTCAACTCAATACTTGGTAATATAACCTTTTGTTGGCAATAACAGAGGTCAAATGATTACATAGGTCTTTACCAGGTTTGCACACACAGTAGCTGGTATTTTGGCTGATTCCTCCATGCAGATCTTCTCGAGAGCAGTGAACACAGACTTTCAACTCCCTCCACAGATTTTCAATGGGGTTGAGGTCTGGAGACTGGCTAGGCCACTCCAGGACTTTCAAATGCTTCTTACGGAGCCACTCCTTCGTTGCCCGGGCGGTTTGTTTGGGATCATTGTCATGCTGGAAGACCCAGCCACGTGTCATCTTCAAAGCTCTGACTGATGGAAGGAGGTTTTGGCTCAAAATCTCATGATACATGGCCCCATTCATTCTTTCCTTAAAGTGATAGTCTGTAACTCTAAATTAATTAAAAATTTTAGGAAATGTGCTAAATTGACCTCCTGGCCTTAAATGTTGATATAAAATAAGTCATTTTATTAATTCTAATATTACGGGAAAGTCCCACCTTCCCTTCTCTTTGCTATAGTTCAGAATCCACGGTGCCGTCGAGGTTAACCAATCGAGTCATGCCAAGGGCTGTCAATCATCGGCGCTGCTGCGCGCAGCTGCGCGCATGCGCAGTTGTTTGTTTTTGCGAAGCCTCCGAATCAAGCCTCTATTAGGCTCTGGAACAACATGAAAACTGAACAAAGAATTCTGAACATCCGCGCTGAGGTACTTGTGTATATTCTGAACCTATATCCATAATCAGATCCTCTGCAGATGTGTCCTATAATGTGCAATTCATGATAATAGCACTTCCTGGTTTGCCGCAATCGCTTTTTTTGTGCATAAAAACATTATTTTTTTCATTAAAACGTTCACAAATAATTCTGAAAACCTCCGTGCATGTGTATTAATAACGTATATGTATAATGTGTTCTCTGATTAACATTTCAAAGTGTTACGGAAACGTAGGTGTAGACCAATCAGAAAGGAAGGGGGAGGGAGCTTGCGTCGTTTTTTTCAAATCAAGTACCTCTCTGTCTCTCTTTCTGACAAACTCCAGACAATCACTTTAACATGGATCAGTCGTCCTGTCCCCTTAGCAGGAAAAACAGCCCCAAAGCATGACGTTTCCACCCTCATGCTTCACAGTAGGTATTGTGTTCTTCTTCCTCCAAACAAGACGAGTTGAGTTTATACCAAACAGTTCTACTTTGGTTTCATCTGACCACATGACATTCTCCCAATCCTCTGCTGTATCATCCATGTGCTCTCTGGCAAACTTCAGACGGGCCTGGACATGCACTGGCTTCAGCAGGGGGACACGTCTGGCACTGCAGGATTTGATTCCCTGTCGTCGTAGTGTGTTACTGATAGTAACCTTTGTTACTTTGGTCCCAGCTCTCTGCAGGTCATTCACCAGGTCCCCATGTGTGGTTCTGGGATTTTTGATCACCACTCTCATTATCATTTTGACCCCACGGGATGAGATCTTGCGTGAAGCCCCAGATCGAGGGAGATTATCAGTGGTCTTGCATGTCTTCCATTTTCTGATAATTGCTCCCACAGTTGATTTCTTCACACCAAGCTGCTTGCCTATTGTAGATTCACTCTTCCCAGTCTGGTGCAGGTCTACAAATCTTTTCCTGGTGTCCTTCGACAGCTCTTTGGTCGTGGCCATAGTGGAGTTTGGAGTCTGACTGTTTGAGGCTGTGGACAGGTGTCTTTTATACAGATAACGAGTTCAAACAGGTGCCATTAATACAGGTAACGAGTGGATCACAGAAGAGCTTCTTAAAGAAGAAGTTACAGGTCTGTGAGAGCCAGAGATCTTCCTTGTTTGAAGTGACCAAATACTTTTTTTCCACCATAATTTACAAATAAATTCTTAAAAAATCCTACAATGTGAATTCCTGTTTTTTTTTTTTTCACATTCTGTCTCTCACAGTTGAATTGTACATATGATGAAAATTACAGACCTCTGTCATTATTTTAAGTGGGAGAACTTGCAGAATCGGTGGCTGACTAAATACTTTTTTGCCCCACTGCATCTCCTACACTTACATTTTTCAAAACATTGACCTACTGCTGTTGTTCAGACTGGCGGTCTGAGAGGGACTCTCTGAGCTGGTTTCTCTGAGCTGGTCTCTCTCAAATCCACAGAGACATGTTTCTGGTGCAGGACTCGCTCATTTACACCTACACACGAGCAGAAGGCTGCCAGCTCTTTTCTTTCTCTCAGCTGTTGCCATGGCAGCGACTTAGAAGGAAAGAAGGTGTTTTCTTATGTAATGATTAGTGCTTCAAAACGTTTCCCCAGTGTGGCTCTTCAAAGCAGCAGTCTGTGTGCCTCCAACATAATTCTGTATGTTTGTGTGACTTTCATGGCTCACATACATGAGCAGCTCCAGACGTGCTGCACAGACGACACAAACATCATCTCAGAGGACTTAACAAAACCGTTGAAATTGCACACAGATCAGAGAATAAACAGTTAAAACACAAAAATATAGAACTAGGGCTGTCAAACGATTAAAATTTGTGATAGTTAATTACGACTTAAAAATTAATTAATAGTAATTAATCTCATATCAAACTATCGGCAAAATGATGCAATATTTTTCTGTAAATGTTTGTTTGAATGGAAAGATAAATGACAGCATAGTGTACATATGTACTGTATTTGTTTATTATACAATAAATCCTGATAAAATGACATTAACATTATAAACATTAATTGTGCTTGTACTTAAAGGACAACTCACCCTCAAATCCACTTTTTTTTGCTGATAAACGGTATAAATGAGTGTCCAATAGTGTTGTCTACATATCCTGGTCATAATCTTGTCACTTTGGTGCAAATTAGTTGAAAGTTAAACTTTCTGCATAAAACCGTCTGTGAGGCGCCATCTGCTGGCGACCTGTATTACTACATTTGAATTTTGAATCTGGCGCCTACACTGGCACGGCAGCAAGACCTGACGTCTGAAGCAAGACCTGACGTCGGCAACCCCCCGCCCAGAGCAATGTAAACGGCCCAGTCTCGTTCACGTCCCCTTTAGTCCTCCAGGCTACGCCCATTTAGAAGAAGATTTGAACAGGAAATGTGAGTGACGTAAGCTCCGAGGAGCGGGGTGAGAACCACTTTAAGTTGTCGTGTGTATATTTGTATGAGAATCCCTTCCCATAAGTGTGGAGATTACCAACAAGCAATGAGTCCCCGGAGTATTTAACATTCTCCTCATCTGGACCTGGTCTCAGACATACGTACTTTGGACTTTGTAAACTGTTGGTTTTGCACTTTACTTTTGTTTTTAATAATCTGTGATTGTATCCCAAGACTGTTTCATTCATTTATAAACGATTGTGGCAAGTCTAAATCCGTATCTGGTGAGCGTGTTTTGACTGTTATCCCTCTGCTCTCTGTTTGCATTAACCTTTGATCCATGTTTGTCAATCCATGTACTAGTCTACAACAAGCTAACTTTGTAAGCACTCTGAATCAATTGTATTGTAGCTGAGGTTTGGGTATTTGTTGTTTGTCTGATCTCTGAGTCTGCTGTAAGCGAACGGGACCCTGGTCCGGACTAGCCTAGCCTAGCCGCTAACTCGCTACCCCTATGGCTGCTTCTGTCTCTCCCTTGGTCCTGTACTGCCAGAGTTACCATATGGCGAGTTTAAACCCCGGATCCTTCTCTCAGGGTAGTGATAGATGTGTTAAGTGTAGTATAGTTGTGGCTTTGGAATCCAGGGTTAGTGAGTCTCAAGCTAGCATTAGCTATAGCCAGGCCGTATCTTCATGGACAAGCAGCCCTCCTCCTCTGCACCACTGCTACACAGGCTGCTGTTGCTACAGGTATGTCCCATTCTGTCACAGGTCTCTCCTTGGTTTTCACAGATTGTACAAAGCACAGTCAGCACCATTGACTTGACATGTTCAGTGTCCGAGTCATTCTTTTAGCCTCTTAACACCCGCCTCTTTTTGGCTTGTGCACAAAAGTTTGGCATACCCAAATGTCGTTGCTTATTTAAAAACACATCTTACATATCACATGCTTGTGTGATGCATCATTTTAAAGCTAGAGCCTTCTAGTTTATGTAAAAAAACACTAAAATAATGTTTGTCATTCCTATTTTCCTCTGCATCCTTTGAAGTTTGGGAAAAAACCCCAATTTTTTTAGCCTCGCCTAACATTTTCAATTTCTAAAGGCCCTAAAAAAGGCATACTTCATTGTAAGTTCACAATATTCAAACCCTCTGTTCATTGTGTTGTTGACAACAACTGTCTAAAGTTTCAGACTTCTAAGTTTTATAGTTTTTATGCAGTTTCTCCTTTTCATCAAGTAGTGCACATTTGGCACAATTTGGCACAAGTGTGCCAAATTGTGCCAAATATCTTTACTTACATTTAATCATCATAAAAACAATATTTTTTATCATTGGTACTTATAAGTTACTAATCTATGTGTGTTTTTCTTTTTTAAATGTCAAAGTTATTTTTTTATGAGTGTAAATTCATTGCAGCTTCGAGAGCGTCTTTTGGCTGCCATTACGCACAATTGTCCAGGCCCAACATAAGACAGGACACCATTGTCCCACCCCTTGTTCGAAAGCTTTCCTCATTGGCTACAAGGACATGTCAATCGTAAATCCCGGAAGTAAAAGCAAACAAGTTGGGATCACAACAAAGATCAGTGATCAATGCGCAAACAGCAGCACTAGCTGTACTCGCGGGAGCTCTTGCAGACCCAAAAATTGGTCTAGCTTTTCGGGAGTAGTCTCATTTGAAAGATAAGGAGCTAAGGAACACGTAGATACCAGATGTTGGGGTGAAAAACAAAGCTAAAAGTCCGTTAAAAGTGAAAGAGTAACATCTGTGCTCTTTTTTTTCTTTTTTTTCGCTAAAGATAAATGCACATTTTTGGATTATTTCTGCAGAATGGATTTTACTTTGGGAAATACAAGTGGATATACTTTTCCTTTGGACTGTTCCAGAGAGAATGATGTATTGCAAGCTGGGAGGAGAGCTGATTTATGTGTACAGCACAAGCCCAAAGGTAAAAAACTATTTTGGAATTGATTTATTTTGTGCCCACATTATGTGTTATATCTTTTGAATGCAAAGTCTGATGTTGTATATAAATGTAGATAAGAAAATAAGCTTTAAAATGATATACAGCTTTTGGGGTTTGGTGTTCAAAATACATCTGCTATTGCCAGCAGAACATTTAAAAACATAAAAACGGCCGCCGGCGCGCCGGTTGCTGTAAAGAGGTCAAGACGTAAGCATTTTCAACAACCACTCGTGCCGTGCTGAATTTTCTATTAAACACTTGCTATTCTTCTGCTCTCGTCGAGGTCAGACGTGTCTCTTGCCTGCTCCTGCTCTGCTTGCCCTGATTGTCTTTTTTCCAGAGTTCTGCCTGCGTATACAACTTGAAAAATGATGGAATTAATCAACTGGTCCCTCAATGCAATTGATACTATTTTTTCATTGCGTAAAGGCGGTTCTGGAGATGCCGTCTGTCCGGATGGTACGGCGGCTGCTGGGTACGTTTTTGACAACTGGCAAAAGTGGCACCCCATTTGTCTGTCTGGACTGTCCATCAAAGACATTGAGGATATATACATTTTTTTGGATTCATGGCAGCAGGGTTCCTCCTGATTGGATTTAGAGTTTGCCTGATCTACCGCAACGTCGGAGGAATGTCCACTCAGAAGATTTACGAGCTTTCCGCGGAAAATAAGGAGTTTCCGTGAGTTGACCAGGGTCGTGGTCAAGGGCGCTGTTGGGACACAGAGGATTGTAGTACAGATCAAACATTCCCTTAAAGACCTGGGATTGAGGTCTATGGAAGGACATAGACATTTAGGAGGATTGATTGAAGGACTTGGGCCTCATGGCGAACACTCGCACTGACGTGGTATACTCTGGATAACGGTGAACAGAGGGATCCAGTTCCAGTTAATTTGGACTCATTTGGCGTTAAAGTCTACACTGCCTTTTGATTTGACCAGCTAAAGTGCTTTATAAATTTCCACAAGGCATATGTATTGTTTTGTCTCCCACGTCCGCTGGCACCTGCTCTTATCTTTGTCCTCCACATTCCACCACACAGTTGGCCTTCAAGGCCGAAGATGGACTCTCTCATAACTTGGACTCATCAGTATACCAGTTGTTTTGGCTCCCCACATGTCTGTCTCTCTCTCTCTCTCTCTGTCTACGGTGGTCTTCCCCTCCACCTCCCCCACCCACACTCCCCCTCTGACACGTGATATTGGACGGGGCGAGTCAGTGACAATGTCCCTTTAAAAAGATCTGCATGCTTCCCGTATTTACTGTTTCCATCCAATAATGTCTGTCGAAGTATATGTTGTTTTGCTCTCTGCTGTTGAATAACTGTCATAAGGAGCGCGGATATGTTGTCCGCAGCCGGCCTTGAAGTTTATTCATCGAACGGAATTTCTCCATCTGTGAAATAATAAAGGATTGATTGATTCGTCTGTCACTCGCCCAGCGTCCTGAAAAGGTTTTAGGGGCCATTTCTGCAGGGGCTAAGCAGAGTCCCCTCGGGGGTAATAACCCGCTATCACCGATATTATAATAAATCCATGCACCGCACCAATGTGTCTAGTTACGCGTCACTCGTAAATGAGGTGGTCTGACAAAACTCAGAACATACTAGGAGGTACTATTTTTGATGGAAAATCACCCAAACTCGACCGTGTCGTGCCGTACTGTTACTGTGGAAAAGCGGCATTACAGTGTAGGAGAATGCGGGACAATTTCATTATACATGGTCTACTTGAACAACAAAAGGAGACATACTAGGACACAGAACAACTCTGAAAACCCACCTCAAGATGGACGACAGCGCTGTCAAACAGATCCAGCTTGCACGGGCCCATCGCTTGGTTCAGTGGCGCGGGAAAACACCCCGAGGCCGTCCCATTGTGTCCAACCTCCTAGATCCCAGACACAAGATCACCATCATGGGGAAGGCCGGGGAGCTGAACAGGAACAGGACTGGGTTTGACGGACCAGTTTCCCGGCAAAGTCATGCGGCGACGCAAGTTGCTCCAACCGGTGCTAGCAGAGGCAAGAACCGCTGGTCGGAGAGCTAAAATATCCATTGATAAACTGTACATTGACGGCGAACTCTACCGCAAATCCAAAATCACGTACTGGCTCACCGGGGGAGGCAACGCGGACCCAACCGAGAAGCATGAGGTAAACACGGTCGCAACTTGATGTCGTCATCAGATCGACACCAACTCTCAAAACATTAATTAACAACTTCTGCCCTAATGCCTAGAGAGCTGAGAAAGTGCACACACACAGGCACACAATATTATTATTATTACTATTATGAATATTTATTTGAATCATGGCACTAAAATGTATGAGCTGGAATATTCGGGGTATTGGTAAACCTTCCAAAAGAATACAACTTTTTAACTAGACATTTGTTTATTACAAGAAACACACCTATCAGATTCAAATGACACCTTTTAAAAATAAAAAATTACAACCACATTTTCTCCAACTACAACACCAGACAAAGAGGGTAAGTATTATCCTACTTAAAAATCTGTGCTTTACTCATAATTCAACTATCACTGATAGAGATGGCTGTATTTTCATAATAAATATTTCTATCAACTCTCCACTAGGACTGGGATAAACCATTATTTTTTTAAACGATTAATCTAATCTAGCAATTATTTTTAATTGACTAATATGCTGATGTTTTCCATTTCTGAATAAAGAAACATGAATTCCTGAACAAAATATATTTATTGCTCTTAAATTTCAAAAATAAGACATTCTTAGAGGTAGCACAAAGCCTTAAACACATCTAGCTTGCTGAAATAAGTGCATTGTAATATTATTCTTTCAGATGAAAATAATACTTGATGTTTAGCTTTTAATAAAATAAAAAAGTTCACCCAAAATACTTGTTTAGAGCAACTGAGAAAATAGAGTAACCAATGTAAACTTGAGGGGTTTAAGCTAAAGAGCGCTTTTCTAGCAAAAAATAATGAAAATAAACATTTGGAATTAAAGTTATGTTGAACATAGGCCTAGCTTACTGAAAAAATCGATTACGTCAATGCGTTGTCCCAACCCTACTCCACTAACAATATGCAATGTTTTTGGACCCAACAGTGATGACCCGCCTTTTTTCCATACGCTCTTTTCAACTCTTTCAAACAAATTCAACCCACCATTCATAATAGGTGGAGGCTTTAATACTATAATTGATCCATCTATTGACCAAAGCAGCCAAACTAACCGTGCATGGCAAGCATCTGATTCAATACGCCAGTTCATGAGCGATTTTGGTCTTTGCGATGGTTGGCGTCTGCAACACCCAACCAAGAATTTTCATTTTACTCCCCAGTACACAATTCATATTCACGGTTAGATTTCTTATCAGTCATTCACTCCTGCCAACAACTGCAGATACCACTATTCACCCAATCACAATCAGTGATCATGCTCCTGTATCTTTCTCCCTTAAACTACCCACACATGCGAAACCTCCAAATAGATGGCACCTCAACACCTCCTTATTAACTGACCCAGACTTTGACAAACTTATCAGGAGAGAGTGGGCAGCCTTTCTGGAGATAAATGACTCCCCAAAGACATCCCCAAAGACATCCCCATCAGTACTCTGGGAAACCGGCAAAGCAGTTTTAAGAGGTATTATAATTTCATACTCTTCATACAAAAAAAAGAAATTCAAAAGGAAACTGAACTTGAAGAAAAAATAAAACAATTGGAAATATCAAATGCAAACCAACCGACAGAACAAACACAAAATGAAATTAAAGCCGCAAGCGGCGTCGAACGGCCCTCGCCGCACCGCACGACTCCCCACACCGCGCACACCCCCCGCACCAAGCCGCCCCGCACCAAGCCGCCCCGCACCAAGCCGCAACGCGCCGCTCCACAACGCCCCGCACTACGCCGCAGCACCGCTCAAAGGAGGTGGCGCCGCCGTTTGATGATTTGTTCCCATAGCCATAGAAGATTGTTAGTCTAATTGTAATGAATATGATAAGTAGAGCTGGTTTGGCTCCCTATGTAAACTTTGACTCAGTCTGCAGGGGGCGCTAATAGGCCAATTTTAAATATTTCACTTTCACCTGATCTAAACCCTGGAGTTGAACAATGGATTCAAGTTTAATGCAAATCAGACTTTGTGCAAACGGGAAAAAAAATTATGTTGTCAGAAACTGCCAAAAAACCCTCACATTTTGCCGCTCGGCTGCTCAAACAACGTTTCACTGATCAAAATTCCCTGAAGTCATTTTGAAGGTAAATGTGTTGAGATGATTTGGAACAATTTTGAGGCCAATCGGGGAAATGGCCGAGGAGGAGTCGCTTTCCAACCGACGTGTATGAAAATGATTGGTTTTCATTTTTCCATTTTGCAATGAAATTTATGGGCTTCCTGTTTGTCAGAGGGCTTAGCCATAATAAATTTTTTTCCATGTCTTGACTTGAGGAACATGTGTACCAAATTACATGGTTCTACGACAATTTTCACCTCAAACCCCTCCCATAGGCATTTTTAAATTGGCTGTTGTAGGTGGCGCTATAGAGCCAATTTCAAAATTTTAACTTTCAAATGACCTAGACCCAAGAGTTGAACCATGGATTCAAGTTTTGTGCAAATCAGACTTTGTTTGTGCAAACGGAAGCAATTTTTCTATTGTCAAAAACTGAAAAAAATACACCACTTTTTGCCGCTCCGCTGCTCAAACAACGTTTCACTGATCAAAATTCCCTGAAGTCATTTTGATGGTACATGTGTTGAGAGGATGTGGAGCGATTTTGAGGTGAATCGGTAAAACGGCCGAGGCTGGTTTGATGTTTGTGTGAGGTGTACATTTGCAATGAATGAGGAGCGTTTGTCGTCGCCACGGCAACAGGGTAAAAAATAAGCCTTGGACCCTATTGACTTTTTGAATCAAGAGGGCAAAACAGATTTATGTGCAAAATTTCAAACATTTTGAAAAAACTAAATTTGGAAAATGCCCATCTAAAACTTTGAAATAGTCTGTAGGGGGCGCTAATGTGTCAATTTGAATCATTTAACTTTCAAATGACCTAGACCCTAGAGTTGAACAATGTATTAAAGTTTTGTGCAAATCAGACTTTGTTTGTGCAAACGGGAGCAAATTTAATGTTGTCAAAAACGGCCAATAAAAAGGTCACATTTTGCCGCTCCGCTGCTCAAACAATGTTTCACTGATCAAAAATCCCTGAGGCCATTTTGAAGGTACATGTGTTGATGATGTGGAGCGATTTTGAGGCGAATCGGTGAAACGGCCGAGGAAGAGTCGCTTTCCAACCGACATGTATGAAAACTTTTGCTGTTCATTTTTCCATTTTGCAGTGAAATTTATGGGCTTCCTGTTTGTCAGGGGGCAGGGCCATAATAATATTTTTTTCTTGTCTTGACGTGAGGAACATGTGTACCAAATTTCATGGCTCTACAACAAATTTGATCTCCAAAACTCCCATAGGGGTATTATTTTGGCTGTTGTAGGTGGCGCTGTTCTGTCATTTTTTGAGTCCCATAAAAATAAACACCAAAATAACAAAATTTTTCGCCAGGTCTGATTTTTGGGCCAAAATTAACAACTTTTCATGCATGTTCAGGGGGTCAAATTAAGGCTGAAAGAAAGAAAGAAAGAACCCTCGCCGCACCGCGCAGCACCTCGCAAAGGAGGTGGGGCCGCCGTGTGATGATTTGTTCCCGTAGCCATAGAAGAATGTTAGTCAAATTGTAATGAATATGATAAGTAGAGCTGATTTGGCTCCCCATGTAAACTTTGCTTCAGTCTGTAGGGGGCGCTAATGGGCCAATTTCAAATATTTAACTTTCACCTGACCTAAACCCTGGAGTTGAACAATGGATTCAAGTTTAATGCAAATCAGACTTTGTATGTGCAAACGGGAAAATAATTAATCTTGACAAAAACGGGCAAAAAAACCCTCACATTTTGCTGCTCCGCTGCTCGAACAACGTTGCACTGATCAAAATTCCCTGAAGTCATTTTGAAGGTACATGTGTTGAGATAATTTGGAGCAATTTTCAGGACAATCAGGGAAACGGCCGAGGAGTCGCTTTCCAACCGACAAGTATGAAAATGATTGGTTTTCCATTTTGCAATGAAATTTATGGGCTTCTTGTTTGTCAGAGGGCTTAGCCATAATAACATTTTTTCCATGTCTTGACTTGAGGAACATGTGTACCGAATTTCATGGCTCTACGACAAACTTGACCTCTGAAACTCCCATTGGCTGTTGTAGGTGGCGCTGTTCTGGCATTTTTTGAGTCCCATAAAAATAAACACCCAAATATCAAATTTTTCACCAGGTCTGATGTTTGGGCAAAATTTTACAACTTTTCATGCATGTTCAGGGGGTGAAATTAAGGCTAAAAGTGCAGAATTTGACATCTCTCGAGCAAAAACAATAGGCCCTTTCCCCGTTCGGGGCTCGGGCCTAATAAATAAAAAAGGAATTTTTTTTGACTTGTCTCGAGCAAAAACAATATAGGTTTCAATGGCACGTGATTCATCATTTTTAAAGCGTTTGAGTTTACGCACGCAACCGTCACATTTTGGTGAGTGACGGGCAGTGACGCGTCCGTCACGCACCGCCACCATTTGTTTTCACCATTGTGAAAGCAATAGGCCCTTACCCCGTTCGGGGCTCGGGCCTAATAAGGAAATGTAAATATGAGCTCAACAAAATAATAAACAGGAAAACACAATTCCTACTTCAACAATTAAGACAAGAAAAATTGTACACCAGTAATTCTGGAAATTTTTTAGCTGGCCTTCTCAAGCAAAACAAAGAAATCAATTGTCATTTATCAATTGGATAAAAATTCTATACACCTCACCAACCGCCACAATAACCACTAATGGACTCACATCAGATCACTTCACAAGGGGACCAGACAGGGCTGTCCACTCGCTCCTCTCCTTTTCATAATATTCATTGAACCGTTAGCCACAGCCATCAGTCAAGATCCCATCATCAAAGGAGTGAAAAAACATCTAATGATCACCATAAAATTAGTCTATACGCAGATGAC